TATATATTCCATCAAGTTAATGCTACCCATTTAGTATTGGTTGGCAACAGAATCAGTGTGACATCCTGCAAAGCCTAAACCAGGGGCACACGCAGCAGGCTGATTATTCAAAGGTTACTGCAGTAATGCAAATATGTAGTCATTGTGTAAACATCAAAAAATAACGTGATTATGTGAGAATTGTCAGTGTGTTGTCTCAACTGCGGCCGAGTATGTAAACATGTGAGTGCTTGTAGAAGAATCGCTCTTTTCTCCGCTCTGAAACCTCATCCTTAAAAATCTCAAGGTTAGTCACTCGAAACAACCATCCCAAACAGAAGGGGAGGGAAAAAAAACTCTCTCAGCTAGACGTGCCCATTAACACTTAAAACATGTTCTCATTATTAGCTTATACAGTTTGTTCAAACACAGGCTGATTTACAAATCATACCGTTTCTGGTCTCTAAAGATAGAAGCAAAATACAAGTTTTTAGTGTCATTACAAAAACATCTTTGGAATCTGCATCAACAATTCCTGACTGAGATATCTGATTGTTTCTTTATTATGCCACCCCCCCCAAAAAACAAAACAAAACAAAAAAACAAAACAAAACACAGGCAAAAGGAAAAACTCACCACCATCAGTCACACACTGATCCTCTACTCTACCCCTTGACATGACTCTTAAACCTGCTAAAACTTGTCCTGGCTGCAGTCTATAAACCTTTCATTTAAAACACTCAACACAGCGTCGCATAGACGGGAGGGGCGGGGGGGGTTCCAACATTGTAACTGTTGTATACTGTATGTGGTCATAAGGTTTCATTGATCAAAGAGCTATACTTTGTTCTGAGCCAAGAGACCTGCCTTTTTGGTTAATGTTCAGGAAAGACAGTGAAAAAAAAAGCTGCATGTGAATATCAAAAATACAATAACATTAAAGTGGATACAGTAAAGCAGAGACGAGAGAATCAGATAAATGGGTTTAAAAAGAGTCCAAACAGAATCAGACCACCAAGATTAAGTCCTGGCTGGTTTGATCTCATTGAAGTGTCGTGCTGCGATATAACAGACGACCCCGTCTAAAAAAAATAAAATAAAATGATTCAATCCATGTATGAAAGAAGGAAAAAAAAGAAAGTAAAATGCCATTTGATCTAAACTATCATACATATATAGTTATCTAAAAATAGAACACTAAAAAAGATAAAACGACGAATGGATTGTGAATCAGGCTGGGAACCCCAAACATACAATTTTGATCATTGAACATTAGAGGGAAGTATGCCTGCCGTTTACGGGAACAGCAGTGTGCTTGTCGCTGAATTATAGAAATGTGGGTATTTATTCGTGTCGCTCGCATCTCAAAAAAAAAAAAAAAAAAAAAAAAATACAACTGAAGGCACTTGATCTATCAAAGGTTTAACTTAGACTTGCTGGCACAGCCAAGCAGCGGTGCAGTCAATCCGCAGGTTCGAACCCCTCCCACCCCCACCCCAAGCAACATGGGCCTCACGTTACCTTTACTCCAAATCAGTATTGTTCTTTATGCTCCAAATACATCATTTTTGGTTTTTCAGGCTTGTTGAAAAAAACAAAACAACAACAACAACAACAACAACAAAAAGAATAAAAACATGAGGCCAAATATAAAGCTACTAGCTAGATGCAAAAGTCCCAAATACAGTTAAGTAGTGATGCGTCACGCTATTTTGCAAGAAAGAGGCTCCAGAGACTCCAGGGGATAACTGATCAGGGCAGAAGAGTGGAAGCACCTGCCCAGTGGGTAAATATGCCCTAGATTCACTGACAGGCCTGTGAAAGATTTGGGGACCCTTGCATAATTGTCTGTTCATAGGCCAGCCTTGAAGACACAGACAAAATACAGAGATAACACAACCAGTGAAGAGAACAGAACAATACTGCCAGGAAAAAAAAAAAAAAAAGAGGTTGGCCTTACATGCTGACACAGACACAGAAGTCCCGAGAGGCTTGCTGAAATGTCTGATAAAATCATCTATGATTCCTTCACAGATTAGAGCAGGCAGAAGTTCAGAGTGTAGGTAGAGGAGCGAGGAAGGAGTGGCCAGCTCGGCTTTTCTATAACCATGTGAGGAAACTCTCCTTGTCGAGCTTGGTAGCTGCCAGCACAGACTCCATGTCATTGAGGATGTCTGAGCTCAGCGCCTCCTGCAGGCTGGGCATCAGCTCCTCACCTTCCACCGCCATGCTCTCCCCCTCCAGGGTGCCCAGATCTACGTCTGTTCCAGGAATGGTATCCAGGTAGTCAGGGAAACGACTGGGCTGTGTTGCCATGGAGGGTGCAAGTGGGTCCCCTGATGAAGAGGGAAGAAAAAAAAAATGTTGATACTGTTTGATGTTACTTGCTCCAGAACAGGTGTGAAAAAGTTTCTCAAGGCTACAGCAGTTCAGTACCAGTAACTTTTAACCTCAACTTCAGCTAGTTTAAAAAGAAGGTATGATTAGATGTAAGTTAACCAAAATGAATTGGCATATCTTATGATAATGTATTAAAATAGTTCACTTTAAATCATTTCAGTAATGACTTGTGAACAAAAAGGCATTCGGTTATGAAGGGAATGCAGAAATATGTACAATAATAATCAGCAGCCGTGAGCAAATCATTAAGCCAAACCGACAGAAGAAGTGTGGTCCATCCCATTCAGACAGAAATGAATCAAGAGTCAAGAATTCAAGTCAGATGCAAGCATTTCATATGTTTTGATGTGCACATGCATCGACGCATTTAATCAGAACAGTATGACGTGTGAAACAGATACAAATGTCATTATGTCCACCTCCTCATCTCTTAGGCCTTTGTATGATCCGTTTCCCTAATAGGGCTACATTCTGTTTTCAGGACAATAAACATCTTTTTTGTTCTTATATTCAAAATGTAGCCTTTCAGATTAAAAGCTGCAATTTTTTAAAAGACTCAAGTCTAAATTTGCAGGAAGCAAACGGCAAGAAAGGAATCCGGCTAAATTGTTCATATTGAAAAACCTTTATCTGACTGGTTAATGAAAATGTTTAAGCACCCCTCGGCAGGAGATGGTTCCAGCCTGTTTATTTTGACTGAGCACTTTTATTCCACTTGGGTCAAAAATATTAGTCTCTGTGGCTCACCTGTATCCATCTCATCCACACTGTTCAGGAAGTCATCTGGAGTGCGAGGGACACTGTAGCTGCTCATACTCAAGCCGCTGTCTGTGCTCTCATCCCTGGAGTGGTAGGTCCCGCTGGAAATGCAGAAATTATGAAATGTTGGTTAGAAATGCTCCTCTGTTACCAATGAACTCTAATGGCCTATAGTTTACTTTAAAAGTGAACTGTTGAAATCAGCGGCCTTAACTCCCTTTACATACATGCACATTTAAATGGTTCAATCCTCTAGAAACGCTACGTGATGACTAATCTGCAGTGACACCATTGAAAGTGAGCTTCACTTTTTTCCCCCCTTTTTAATCTACACTATATTGCAGTACATAGGCAAAGAGCAGCAATGAAAGGGGCAACTGAGACAAAATGAGAGAGAGGACATTTGACAAGCCTATACTAATTAGCAGAAAAATATGTAGGCAGAGTATGGCAGAGGCACGATGAATGAGGCCATTGTGAGCGCAGAGGAGTGCAGGGAACAGGGGGAGGAGGGGAGATTAGGTTGGCCTGTCTACTGACTGGACCACATGTTCTCATGGCCTGCTTGCTATTCAGCTCTTTTCCTCACTTTGTGTGCTCACAGAAGAACTAGAGCTTGAACTACTAGAAATTATTTCCCAGCATACCGTGGGGCAGCATTCACACAATAAAAAGCTTCCTGTACCTTTGTTGTTCAAATCTGTACAGCCTCAGACCAGCAGATTTTCACTTTATTTATTTTTTTTGGAGGGGGTGGGGGCTGTCTCACTCTTAAAATAAAAGAGTGGTCTTGTATTATTTCATAACTTGCGTCGCCATTTAAGCTCTGACTGACTTTACTGCAGCAGTTGTACACCAGAGGTCATCATTGAACTCCAGGCACAGATCTGCTGCTCTGAATGAGTCATTACCATGTGAAGAGGGTTAAGGCCCAGAGTTTGGCCTTCTGTTTTTACTACCACTGCTCAAAAAGTTTTGCACACAGATCCCTAAAACAGGATAAAGTCTGATGGGCTGAACCAAAAGTCAGCTGGTGCCAATCAGACTGTAGCGGTTGATTGTCTCCTTATTTTGTTCCACACCGAACACGCCTGGCTTATGTGTAAACCGAACCTGTTGAGGAATGGATCAGAGCTGTTGGCCGTCATGGTCCGGGCATCTTGAGCCATAGGGGAGGACACAGGGTTTGTGCTGCCATCTTGATCCATACTGGTAGGCAGCTGGTTCCTTAGAGCCAGCTCCTGCGGATAATAAGACACAAAAACTCATGAGCAACACTGTCAACACCACCCCTAACATCCAAAGCTAATTATACACAGCTAGAGCTTCATGGAGGCGTTTTTTTACAGCCTCACTGGTCTGCTGTCAGACATGTTGGTCTCCATTTCTCTCCTTGCACGGTGTCATATTACATGAGGGGCCGGCCACAGTTGTAGACAATTGTTTTCTACACATGAGGAATCAGATAAGGTTGAGGATATGAAGTCATGCTTTTCTTTTTCACCCCCTTCCTTCTAAGGGGATGTGAACAGAGCTGACCATAGTCACCATTTTCAGCTCTCATTAAAATTCTACAAAGACACTATTGGAAATGCACTAATTATACTTTTTTTTTCTACTTAGTATTTGGTATCAGCAAGTAAAATAAATCAAGTATAAGTAGTCAGTAATAAGATTACGTTTCAACCTTGGCTCAGTGACACTGCAGCATGTAGTGCAGTATAGGTTGCTGATATCTGCCATCTGTGCATTCCTTGAAACAAAAGTGAGGCAGCCTACGCTTTCAATAAGTGCATAAAGTAAATTTACCTCTTCAAACACACAGCTGTTGCAGTGAAGTTTGGAACAGTTTCAGCTGAACCAAAAGTTGCAGTTGTGTGATAAATGACCTGCTGACACTATCAAAACCACGTAAAAATAAAGCTAGCTAAACCGGCTGTCTGAGCAGCACACGCCCGGCAAGGCATGTCTGATGGCTCATCTGCATTTGAAGTTGCAGCAATCTCCATTGTGTTGCGGCAATTCTACGGTTTTTCACATTTATGTTGCCATACATAAGTGAAGGACTAACTATAAGCTAGTCATAGTCAATGCAACATCAATAATTCATTTTATTTCCTGTAGTATTAATTACCTTACAAAGGGTTTTAAGTTAGCCACTCACCTATTCTTCATTACATAACTGCATAAGTGCATACATTTCCATTTGTGTCAAGTTTTGCTCCAAAATTGAACTCCCCATACACGCCTAACGTTACGCAATGTACTCCTGACACGCACTACAAGATTTGTAAATAAATGATAGCCACCATAATCCAAACAAAGCAGAGTTACAGGGGTTTCGGGTTTATTGGAATCTAGCGGCTAGACAGAACCCCTCTTTATATCTTTGCCTGGTCTGCAGTGCCTTTCCACATTTTATTTTCCATTTTAACTGGTGGCCGTGGATGTCTGAGCCTTGGATAATTCAGTTGCTCATGTTTCTTTACATAACTGATGAATTTCTATCCATCATTTTAATTGTGTTTGTCTACACAAGACACTAAGTGAAATCAGGCAGCTTCACTGAAATAGTCTGGTCCCACTTTTGCTCGTGGGCACTTGTCATGCACGTAACAAAAACAAAAATTGTAAATAAAGTCATAATTCTGATTTTAAGGCTTTTAAAATAGCTAATAGTTCAAAGTATCTGAAAGAAAGTGTTTGTGCTCATCATACTCTCATAATCTCCTTCTTTAAAAGCCAACAGTAACCAGGCTACATCAGCATGCAGAGCATATTCTCTTAAAAAGGACAGTTCCAATAATTTTCCCTTTATAATCCAGTGCCTGCATACACACGGGTCACGTCCTACAGTGAACTTTAAACAGCCCATCTGAACCCGAGGCATGGTAAACAAAGTCACCAGCACTCTCATTCATAATCATAAAGCTCCAAATCTGGTACTATGACACAGCCTTGAGTAAACTACCGCTCCACCCTGCGTGGGTGGCACCACTGTGACACATCAACCTTAGGAAGTGATAATTATTAAGGACGATGACTCACAAGACTTCACTGCAGTGTGGTGTAACAATAAAGACTGATCAAAGAGGCTTAGGATCCACCACTATCCCTGCCAAGATTTTAAAGCTGTACATTTTAAAGTGTAAAGATTTTGCTGCTGCACTCATTCAGCAAATGAACAGTTTGAGGTTCAGTGTTGTGGTGGAAACATACTGAAAAGCATTTGTTCTTCCATGAGGCCCTGGCACTTCCAAAAGGCCTTAAAAATATTTTGAGCTGCTTTAACTCCGATTCCTGACCTGTGGTCTCTGCCGAAGCAGCTCCTGTTGCTTCTGTCTCAGTCTTTCCTTCTCCATCTGAAGTCTCATCTGGTTGTTGCTTCCCATAACTCCACTGATGCTGGGAGGCAGCTGCCCGGCCTGTTTCACTGGAGCACTCTGGGAAATTCTCTGCTGGTTCAGAGCTACAAATAAAATAAAAGTTGTTTACATATCAGTCAAATGCACATAATACAAAGACCCCAAATGCTGTAACGACAAGGATAAACTTTGCAAAAAATGGTTGCTAACTGCTTTGTTGTAAAGGAAATACTGAGGACAATCATTATACTTTCAAAATATTTTTTAGGCAAAGCGGGGGAATATTCAGACCTGACAGCAGAACTTAAGTGCTGTGCTTATGAGACACCTTTATCCTTTGGACTTTACTATATTGAGATATATGCAAATTTAACAATGTCAGCTCTCAGAAGCTGGCAATAAAACTAACATACATGATTTCTAGTTAGCAGACTAGATAGACTAGTATCTTCCCATCTCTCTTCAGAAACTTCCTGCTACCTCACCTCTTTAATGGATCGCTGCATTTAAATACTACATAACAAGACCAACAACTTGTGCATTTGTCCACATAGTGAAATTGCAAAAGAGGATCCAGTGCAGCAGGTTGTGTAGGACAAGGGAAGTCCCAGCACAAGTTGTCCACCTAGTATCTAAAACAATCACTATTCCTGTAAGACCTGATCTCCTCCCACTCGCTGACTAAGACGAGCTTTGTTAGTTTTGTACATTGCATCAGTCATGACTTATCCTTTCATTGTGCGTTTTGTTTCCTTCTAAACAAATCGCCGCTTATCCCTCGAGACTGACTGCCTTCTTACCCTGGCTTGATGTGTCCACTTAACGCATGCAATATGATTGCTCTGTGCCCATTAACATAGTGCAGGCCTACCTAAGGTAATGCAAACACAGTACCACTTCTAAATTTACGTTAAAGGCTCTTTTACACAACAAATGTTACTGCATTAAGCATTTGTAAGCCGACTACATGTTTACAATATCAGAACAAATGTGTTTGTACTGAAAACACAGCTGTTCCCCAATGAAATCTTTGTTATTCTTCAGTGTAGTGGGGGTGGGTCTAATAAACATAAGTGTAAAGCACAATGCGATGCTGCAATCTATGCATGCAAAGTAGGTCACACATTTGCAGTGGAGTAAACGTGAATGTGTTGCACCAACAATAAAGGAGCCAACGAGGTGTGCTGTTTGCTTATGTGCTTGAAGCGCCAATCACAACAAAGCTTTAATGGGGCGGGGGCGCAACTTTCATGCGGGTCTGGCCCTCTCTGTTCTGTCCTGCCCGCCCCGGCACCTTTCTCATCACCATTCAATCACTGTCTGTTTACACTATTGCAGGGGCTGAATGAACCATAGCTGAGGGCTCTCCCTGGGAAGCTTTGGAGGCCCCACCTTGCCTTGCCTTCCACCGTCCCCTCCCCTCTCTGACCGCAATGTCTCCCCAGCAGCCCCACCCCAAGCGCGCGCACACACACAGACTCATGTAGGCAGCTTCCCCCACACACACGTCAAGAGAATCCGTGGGAGACTGTTACTTCTCCCTACTTCTTATCTTTGGCAGATACTGAAGCCTTTTGTGGCTGGAGCGCTCCGCCATCGGGGCACCATTAACTGTTCTCATGATGGAGTCTCTAGGCATGGGCCATGTCAGCAGCTGCAGATCTGTTAAGGCCTTAGCTTTGAAGACGAGTTGCGTAAAAGCGATGGGACACATATGGAGAGATCCACTGATACACAAAGCCAAAAGATAAAGGAGAAGTTTTAATGTCAAAACCTGGGTCTTTATTTTGACCCCAGTTTCTATTTATGACAGTAACCTTTTATTCATACGAACAGTGCCAAGGGAAGTCAGCTTCCAATCACCTCCTCCTCCAGCCAATTTGCAGAACAAGGTGAAAAAATTCTGCAGAACGATCGCGTAGTTTCGCCTAATTTTACAAAAAAACTACAAAAATCAGAAGATTTGCTAACCTTGTTAGTTCTCTGCCAAGTAAATTATGCTCAACAAAACTATGTGATTAGTCAAAGTCAACGGTTTCCTTCAGGGGAGCAAAGTTCCTGCTGCAAAACCAAGTCAAGGACTCTTTTTGCAGACCAAATAGCAACAATAACCAATGTTACTGGATGAACTATGCACAAGCAATGCAGATATCAAAGAAGGGAATTACATCTGTGGGCGAGATAGTTGCCAAGGATAGGTTCATTTCAGGGCCAGACTGATATTTTAAAAGGAGGCCACTCAAGGCAAAGAAGACTGTGTGTGAGAGTGTGTGTGTACTTTTGGAGAGGTGGTTTGAGTAAGCAGCACATAGAGGTAGTGATTGCCGGTGAGCCAGTCAGATAAGAGACAAGTTAATGCTGTCTGCCTTTTGTCTTCTTCACGCACTCCTGCAAGACAACGAGCCAGCGACACAACCCCTTATCAGTCAATCACACTGGCAGGCATATTACACCACAAGATCACCTGGGGCAGGTTAAGTTGAGGGTGTGCCAGCTGTGGGAAGCTCTCTATATGACCAGACCTCAGCACCTTTTAAGACTTAGTAAATATTTACCTGCTTTCGATTTAACAAGTTTAGCAAAAAAAAAAAAAAAAAGGCATCTTGGGAAGGTGTTGTATTTCTAGCATCAAGATAAGTAAAGCGGCAAAACAGACTGGATGTGATGCAAACAAAGTTTTATCATCTTGTACTCAGTAAGCTAAAACCAGCCTGTGCCGACTTGGCTCTGAGAGGCATGAAAAAAATAAGTCAGGCGAAAATCAAGAGTGTAGGCTAACAGGTTATAATACAGCTGTATCTGACACTTCTAATAGAAATCTATTAATGCGTACACTCAATTCCATTTAATGGTCACCAATAAAAATAAAGCAAAAAAAAAAAAGCATAGAATATTTTGGCAAAGTTTGGCAAAACTCAAACATAAACTATCCATCCACGGGATGCTGTTTGAGAGTTAAGAAGCTGCTCCTGACTTTTTCCACATGACATTTCTTAATTCTGTTTGTATCACAAATGCCAAACTACTCTATGACAGCGACATTTTCAACAAGGTTCCAGCTTTTCTGGTTTAGTACTCTGACAGTACTCAAACAGTATTACACCAAGTCTTCAGATGAAAACATTGAAGTCCCAGGGGAATTTTTTGGTCTTTCTGCTGTCATTTCCTGTATGTGCCCACAGCAACACATATAGGATATGACATCCACATTAGCCAGTCCCCTTTTGAACTCCCACGTCACCGTGGACTCGCAGCTTGCTCACCACCTTTTTGGATCTTAAACAGGATGCATGTTTATCCCATCGTCATTTTCTCTCTATTCCTCAGTTTTTCTTTCCTCCCCTTTCGCCTTGCCCCCCTCCACCACTCCCCATGCCCTCCCCTCTTTAGAGTTCTTTGACTGAAAAGGTCTGGAACAGATTAAGAGTTGGAACACAGAATAAAGAGGCCTGGCAAAGATTCAAGTCTGTCTGGAGCTACAGCAGAATGGGGCTGTGCCTGCACTGGGCCTCACACAGGGGGAAGGCAGCCGGCAACAACCCTCAGTTAAAGGCACTCTGCTGCTTTTCTTCTCAAAGCTCAAATTAGCCTCCATTATCAAAGCAGTTGGCTTATGATTGAAGACCTACATAGCAGCAGTATAGGGGGTTTCTGACGCACAGGAGCTTACTTAAATAGTACAAAAGTGCAAATGCATACAAAAAAATGATAAACAAAACTACTGGAATTAAAAAAACAGTTCAAAATTCATAAGTTTTACAATTTTTTGTAAACCTAAGAAGGTACAAACTGCCACAAATGAGAAATACAAGCGGTATAAATGTGACGTTTTAACAATTATTATTAAAAAAAAATGTTATACCATGAGGAACAAAATCATGTTTATGGCACATAATGAGTTAAGAGCCTGTCTCTTTCACTTTTTCTCCCCCTCTCTCGCTTTCAGGGGCCCAGCAGCCTTGTGTGTTCAAGACTTATAAACCTTCAAAGAGCTTTGCCGATTAAAGCCTCCATCTCTCCCCAGCTGCCCCACTCCCCTTACAACTCTGTTTTGAACTTTCCTGTCTGCTTTCAGAACAGGGACACACAATTGCTTACATAAAAATTGCCCTTTAAGTGGCCATGCTCGGTAAAAAACTAACACTAAATTTAAGCGGGCCGCACGCTGATTCACACATGTTGCCTTTGTGAACCAGGGTAAAGTTCCCTGGGGAACACTTCAGTGATGAAAAGCATGTCACCTGAAGAATAAATGAGTCAGAGTGACATAAGCCCTCATCTCTGGAAGTCTTTCTGGCACACGGGAGGATTAGCTTATTCCCATGGCCACAGAGTAGTCCGAACACATGTACCTGGCTCTGTCACTAATTCACCAACCCTGACCACCACACACTCGGAGCTAACTTTAGTTTGGCCCGAGGGATTAATGGCAAACTCAGCTGTTGTGCCATAACTAAAACGGCTGACAAAAGTGTAGGTGTGAATTTTGAGGGTGGGGGTTTTAACAAAATCTGCCTTCAACCACCAATGCTATGTCTAGATAGCCCAAAGCACTCTGGTGTGGTTACATTAACTTTGAACCAAAAGTGGAGAAGGAACACCTCCCTCAAGTGTGAACATTTAATTATATTTTCAGGTGTCTAACAATGACTTTCCTATATTTAATCAATACAACACACTTTAACACTAACAATCTCAGTCCAAGGCAAACTCACCATAACGTGGCTCAAGTCGTGGGTCCAGCCAGGATGTGGTCTTGTTCTTGTGATTGATGTAGTAAATTTCTCCCTCTGCTGTAATAGCCTGTTCCCAGCCGTCAGGGAGGGATCCTAAAGGGACGATGCAAAAAAAAACAAAAAACAAAGTCTAAGAGATCCTACAGGTTCAATCTATGCTTTAATTGACTGGCAGAATTTTTTTAACTTCTTACAGTCAGCTGACAAAGAGACCAAAACAAAGCAAAAACTTCCCATATAGAAAGCAAAAGGAATAAATAGACAGAAGAATTAGAGATGGTCGTAATCTTTCATCTCTGAATTAATCATTGCCATCAGCCACTGAAATCAAACAATCCTGTCTGTCAACAGTTGACAGATGACTAACAATGGGTTACCAGATCGGTAATCTTTAATCTTTACCCAGTTTCTGATCTGGCCTTTGTCGAAAACTGGCCTTTCTGACATGTAGCTCCATATTGGAGATGGTTCACTTCAGATGCATTCTAATACTGGAAACGCTGTTTGTTTAGATGAGGGGTGGCGGCCAGGTACAGCATGCGAGAGGAAGGACTCGCTTGCTGTGATTTCAGTGGACCGATTCCCTGCTATATTCTCACATGGCTTTAAAGGACATCACACAGTGTGTGCATGTGCAAAAGTAGCTATTGAGTCAGAGTTCCCAAACATGTCAAACAGGACGCGTAACGTTCTGCCTCAGTCTTCCCTCACCTAGGGCAAATTCCAACTGTATGGACAGACCTGAGGTACACCAAGTAGTAACAGGTAAGAACCAGACTGTACCTGACTTGTTCGGTATAATTTTTTTCTTCTTTTTTTTTTTTTTTTATTGTTTTGCTTTACATATGTGAACACACAAAAAATGCATGTTGAAAAAAATACACTATGAACGTTGTGCAAAGGAAGAACTGAAATAATTGCCATTCACTGCTGAAAATTACACAATGCATTTCATGCACTGCCGCTGATATAAAAACTAAATTTGACAAAATCAACAGATACACACCACTGGCTGGGTTCATGATAGGTTGCGGCTGGACTGGCACAGAACTGGGAGGGGCAGGCTGGTTCATCTGGAGCAAGGCCTTGCGTGGATCCTGCCAAGTGGTGGTCTGATCAATGTGGCTGTAAGGAGATAGGACAGCCAATAAAAATAAGTCACAGAAATGACCATCTATGATTTCGTACAACTAATAAGCAGTAAGGCCAAACTAGGGCTATGTCAATACAACACATAAATGTTGACTCAGACCCATTTCATCAACCTCATGGACAAAAAACACTGAATCTACCCCCCTCCCCCCGTTCTGTAAATGATGACTGTTACTGGAAGCGAAACTCAATGTTGACTGTGTGTGTTCCAGCCTGGATTCAGTCTAGATTTACACTACTCATTCATTCATGATTTGAATCTATGTGTATTGAATAACAATGGAAAAAAGAAAAAAACACCCATTAAATTATATTTGAAATAAGACAAAACAAAAGCAGCACACTGCAAAAAATGAAAATAAGTCAAGTCAGGCTGAAAGCTTCTTGAAAATGTGTAGCGGCCTATGATTGGTTTTAAAACGCCCATTGTAACATCAAACAATGTTGCTCCATCTATTTTCTGGCTCATCTTTGCTGGAACAGGACTGAGGCTTGGGGGAGCAGGCATTGTGTTTCATTCTGTGAAGGCATTGATAATTAGTGCTTTGTTGGTACTTGTTGCTTGATTAAGATGGAAAGCTAATACAGGAAGCCCTCCTCTCCCGAGCAGGACCCTCTCTATTGAGGGAGGGTCAGTCCCAGGGCTCAATGCAGGGGGTCCTTTTTTCCTGGAAGCGGCTCGGACACTACAGAGTGTCAGGGGCTTTAACAATCTGGCGCC